AGAAACAAAGCTTTTTTATTCGCAACAATGATTTTTTACTTGTTTTATATTTAGTATTTTTAAATGTTTTTTGAAAATCAGCTGTTTACAAGTTTTCCTATTAAATACTGGGTTACTGCACTTACTATTTGATCTAGCTTAATTAACCTGTACGTAAGCCTAAAAAAATTATTTCTCTAAATGTTTACTTTTGGTTGAATAGCTGACAATTAACCTGCAGATTTCAGCTTCTGACGCTTGAAAACTCTCCCTCTAATGTGTTTGCAATTCTCGCTGCTAGCTTACTTTTCTACTGAAATTTATTCTTTCTTATTTTCTGTCGTCAACGTGCAGAAAATTTCTATTTAGGCAAACTGTCCTTTCCCGAAAAACTTTAGCTTCTTTATTTGATTTGTCAGTTTGTTGATAATTATCTAAATCTTAAAATTTCTTAAAAGAGAAGCTCTAAGGATAAGTTGTCAAAAATTTTTTTTTTCAAACTATTTATTAATTTGGTAAAATATAATTTTTTAAAGATTTTTTTAGTTTATAAAAGAAGTAGGTAATTTTTAATGAAATGATGAATGAAAGCATAATCACCTTTGAAATAGTGACAATAACTTTATTAAAGACAATAGTTTTTAGCCTACTTTTTCGTTCTAGTTATGTTTGAAGCGGTTTTGTTTATTACCATAAAAAACTGTATTTGTCTCGCAGAGAAAGCTTGTTTTTTATGAAAAAAATTTTCCTACACAAAACTGTTGCTATGGCTTCTAAAGCTGTCTTTATAACTCTTAAGTTTTTTCCGGGTTTAAGCACTGCCAAACTCGTTTAGCATTCTAGTAGTTTCTATCTGAGTAATGCTTGTTTTTTTCAATTTTTTACAAAAATATAATTTTTTTAAAAGTAAACTTGCAAAAAAAATTGTAGGAATTTTTATGAACATAATTAATATTTAAGAAACAAGGTTCCCGAATTTGGTGCTAAGACATTCTTACGTAACGTACGTTTGAAAGCTGAAATTGAGGGTAAGTTGCGTTGACATTAGTCAACATAAATTTTAAGTTCAAAAATTTGGTTATAATCTCTGCTTAGAAAATTTTATTTGGTTGCTATACTTAGGGTTTATTTTGATCAGTTAATAAAACGTACGCCAAGCTTTCTATACTGCTAAGTTACAACTTCTCGGGGTTTTAAAAAAAAAGCAGCATTTAAGGTCGGAAGAGTTAAAGTCTTCAAGCCGGCAATTTTCATAGATGCAGGTATTCATGCTCGAGAATGGATCGCGCCAGCTGCTGCAGTTTATGTGGCACACAAGGTTATTTGATATTTTATCGAAATTTGAAAAATTTAAATGAGTTGTCTCTTATTGAGTAAGCTCAGTTAGCTAAAAAACGTTAGTAACACTAAAACCAAAAGCAAAAAAGATGAAATTAGTTCTATAGTTCTAAATATATCACGCTGTTAGAGCAAACGTCTCATGCCATATTAATTTCACTACGTTTGAGGCATTTTTTTCATTTTATTTGTGGAGAATTTCTTTGAGACTATCGTTTTAATATTTCTGCAATTACAGTGAAAACTATCAGCAGATCTAGTAAATGAAACAGCATGTGTAAGCTATTAGCTTTTTTTAGAAACAGACTAAAGCTGAACATATAGCAGCTGACAGGAACTAGAACTTGCTGTCATGTTATTCTGTGCCTTTTGCGATAAGCAATTTTGGTTATTCTGTCTGTAATTTTTCAAATATTGGGTTTAGTGTAATTTGGCTTTAGATAAATATCTATGAAGAAAAATAATTTAATTTAGTGTTAAATTACCCTTGAATCCACTACAAAGTTAAACTGTTCTGTGTTCAATAGCATATACGTAGAAAACTTCAAAGATAGTAAAGTTCGCTAACGAATGAAAGATATGAGTCGGAAAAAGTTCAGTGAAGATGTCGAAGTTCCACTTTCGTCTTGTACTTGTCGCTTGTCGTTTGGTAGAAAAAAAGTAACAGTCTTATGAATCCTGGCTAGACGTATTCGGCACTCTTTGTTTAACTGAAAGAACTCCTACAAAGTTTCAGAAGCCTTAATTTTTTTATGGTAAGAACGTTAAAGAACACAGATATTGTCTTGCAAATTACATGGAACTGTTGAAGACAATATAAGATTAAGTTTTTTGTCGCGTCCTGCCGTTTTTGATGAACTGCTTGTATATTTGAAAATTTTTAAAAAGAATGGTTAAATTAGCCAATAAAGGCAATATTATCTTTGCTAAATCAGTATACACTGACTAGAACAGCAATAGTTTTAGCTTCCTCAAATCGCATTTTAATCTTTACAAATGGAAAGCTAATTTAACTTACCTCTTACTACCCCTATTTGAGGTTTCTTATTTCATCGCTGAAAAACTTTGAGGCTTGTAGAAAACTGTTTGTGCCAACAGCCTTTTATTCAAACAAATCGTTTAGTTCAGAAACTGCTGAGCTTAAGTAACTGAAAACTTTGAAAAAACAAGGAAAACTAGTTTTTAACTAGTTTTACTAGTTTTTAAACAATAACCACTTCAACTTTAAATAAGAAAGTAGAATAAATAAGATTATGATTTTTGCGCACAACTAGTGCTTGTTTAGATGTTACCTTAGCTGCAACTGTTCGTCGGATCACATAGCTATAAGCTAAATTAGAAATGTTTGGAAATTAGAAAGAAAAAGTTTTCTTTAATTTTCAACTTTTTAAGCTATTAGCTTTTTAGAATTTAACTCGTTAATGTAAGAGAAAAAAGCTTTAAATGGCTACCACACAATATACAAAAAAATCAAATTCTTTTTTAAATGAGTAAACATGACATTACTGTTTTAAAACTTCGTCATTTTTTGCGGAAATACAAATAGCCACCGAATGCAGCAGAAATGCTTCATGAGCTTTTTTTTTGTTTTCTAGCATAAAACAACTTTAAATAAGCTTCGGGTACACTTTTCTTTTATAGGGTCCTGATTAATTTTTAAGAAAAGCTTTCTTTTCTCCAAGTTAGTTTAACAAAACACTTTTTTGAAAATTTAAAAATTGTTAAATCTCGAAAAATTACAATAATGCACATCTTCTTGTTTCGGATCGCAAAATTATCATCCAATGAAACCAAGCTGACGTTACTTGTCGTTTTTTTGCCACACTTTCAAGAAGCGTTTTATGCATCTACCTTTTTCTTTATTTCTTCACTTTGGACATTCTCAAAAACTTTTGAAGATGATAACACTATACGGCAGAGACGACGACATTACAAGAATGGTAGACGTATTTGACTGGTATTTTGTACCTGTGGCTAACCCAGACGGTTATGAATATAGTATGACTGCGGTTAGTCAGTTTGACTTTACTTTGGCAAAATGTTATTTACAATTAAAATTCAAAGGATTAGGACTGCTTGCAAAAACAGCATTAGCTATACGTTACTGTCGCATATTTAGGATCGATACTGGAGAAAGACAAGATCAAAGAATGAATCTGTAAGTAAATGGTGTTACGGGGTTGATGCCAACCGCAACTGGGGTTATCGTTGGGGAGGTACGTTAAATATTGTAATGAAGGCGATATTTTTAAGTAACTGGCTTTTCTTGGTATAGTAACCAGAAACTAAGTGAAGATGACGACAAATGAGGCAGACGATAATAAAAAAAGAGAAACTAACTTTTTGCAGAAGTTGGTGGTAGTAGAAACCCATGCAGTGGTGTGTATGCTGGCCCAACAGCCTTTAGTGAAGTTGAAATTGCTGGAATTCGAGACTACATAACCTGGAAAGTAGCTGACCTAAAAGCTTATTTTAGCTTACACAGCTACGGTCAGGTAATTTTGTCTCCCTGGGGATACACTAAGGAACGACCAGATAATTACGAAGAACAGGTCATGAATTTTTAAACAAAAGACTGTTTATTTTACTAAACTAAAGCATCATTAAGTGTTACCGTTATGTCGCTACCATTATAGTGGCGGTAGTTTTGAGTGAAGTACAGTGCCTTTTGACAAAAAAAGTTTTTTGAGCATTAAAAGTTTCAAAATCAGATGGCTCACTAGAGGTTTAACAACCCTCAACAAAACTTTTTTTTAGCATACCCTAGCTCGTGCTGCGGCGGAGGCTATTAGAAATAAAACTGGTGCTGAGTACAAATTTGGCAGTATTTCTGAACTCATGTGTAAGTATTTCTCATATCAGCTGATTTATCTATAACAACCGTGTCGGCTTCAACAGATTTTTAGTAAATAATTATTTGCAAAATGCATTAAAAGTTGCAGTAAAAAAGTTTTAATTGACGGTTTTTTTAAGGATTGACTTATTCAGGTTTTGAGCACCTTTTGTCTTACCTTTGAAGAATTATAATTATCTACTCGCTACTTTTTTAGTTTAGGCTCAAAACCAGGTATTGCTGTACATGCTTTTCTACACCTGAACATTATAATTCTGGTCATCGAAGGTATCATTTTTTGCTCAAAATTGGTGGAGCGTTTGAAAAATGCTAGTCTTTTGAGGTGCCTCGTTATCAAAATTGCGCAACTTCAGTCAAAACGTCTCTAAATCTACGTGAACAGTCCTCATGTAGTTGGCCACAACTTATCAAGCCACTGCAACCTACAGTTTAGAACTCGTTACGTTAGTTCTTTGCAGACGAACTGCTGTTGAAAGAACTGAATAAGAGAAAAATAAGTGCGAGAAAGATTAGTTTTAGTTGACGTTGTCTAAAGCCAATTAGAAATAATGATTATCTAATTTCCTTCCCAAATGATATTCTTATAATTCTGACAAGCTACTGTTTTCTAGGCGAGATTGATTTTGCATTATAATGCTTAAATTTCACCTCTTTTATATGACAGATGATAAAGCGTATTAGTTTTGCAGTGTTTTTTTGCGAAAAAGGTTTGTCACCTCGGTGTAGTAGAAAAGTACAAGCCGAAAATACAAATATAAATTATATAACCATATGCTTAGATTTCAATAAAAATCTGAATTACTTTTCAAAATTTGTCTGAAAAACAGATTGCAGTTAGTTTTCTTAAAGTAGGGAAAACTGTTGCTGTTAACAGTTCTGCCTCTGTAAACAAACTTTTAGTATGTGAACTCACAGTTTTTAATACAGTCAACAAATACAGTAGGGTCGTTAAGCTTTAATAGATTGAAATAATCATGAAAAAGCAGTTTTTCAATCGGTTTGTAACTACCAAAAAACCAGCGTTTTTGATAGAGGGAATAGAGAAGGTTGGAGCGTCGACGAGAAACTTCACCAGTGAGAATTCTTAACTGCGCAGTTTGTCGCAACTAGATGACCCATTTCTTAGAGAAAATAACCACTGAACGTTATAAATGGATGATGCAGGCAAATCTTGTTGAAACAGTAAACTCACTATTTTTTACAAAGTAATTTGGCTAAACCACTTGACACACATAAGTCATTTAAGAAATTTGGTAAGAATTTGGCAATTGCCGTCGATTCTAACTCTCCTGACAGTGCTTATTTAACAAGGTGCTTGTGAGTTAATTTTTTTAACACAAAAAAGAGCCGACAGACTAAATTCTAAAGAATCGAAATGTAAAGTAATAGTAGTACGAGAGTAATAAAGGCAAATTTTTGGTCAAAACGTGATCTCAGTTTTACAGAAAAAATAATCAACAAGAAGCAGTTTGTCGCTTTAATAAACTAAACTTGTAAAAAAGTGGTGCTCGAGAGACGCTGCTTTAAATGGCAGTTAGCTTGTGCTTGGGGGATCAGTAAAAGGCGTGGTATCTGTTAAGACCTATTCAAAATATAAGCGACTGACTGCAAGTACTGCTGGACTTTAGACTGCTTTAGTAATGAAGATAAAATTGCATTTGCTAAAAGTACCAAAGACGTATGAAACAGTTAGGAAATTAATATTACTTAATATTATTAAAATTCTTAGTTATCATTATTTTTAAACAGTTAGATGTTTTGTTACTAATACCGAGAGCAAGAAGATTTTGGGCAGTTTCTTAAACAGCAGTTGGTGATAACATAATCTATTTTTCACATTAAACTTACCTTTTCAAGATTTAAATTTATCAACTGTGACCTTCCAAAAGCTGATGTCGAAATTGAATAATAATTTTTATTAGCTACAGCTTATTGAAAACTAAGTTTTGCCTAGGTTTACTGTTTTTATGCAGAATAGAGCCGAGTTCCAAATTGCACTGCATTTAAAATTTAGAGTTTTTAAGTCTTAAGCGCTGTAGTTTTCATGACGAATTGAAGCAAAGACACTGTACAATTTTTGTAAATGGTAGGCAACTGACTATGCAGTTTACTTGGAGAAAATAGTATGTTCAAAAAAAGATCCTTTGAAATAGTACAGTCAGACAAAGCTGAGCAATCAGAATTGCGTGTAGATTTTCAAAAAAAATGTTAACTTTTTCAAAATACTTTGCAAAATGTTGATTTTAAATGAATAAGTTTTTTTGTTGTGCCCTTTGAAAGTGATTACAGGTGGGGTAGTTTGAAACATGTGCAGCATCTAAGAACTTTAAAAAATAGCTTTTTCAAAACATGTATTTATGTATTCAGTTTTAGATCCAGCATCTGGCACTAGCATTGACTACATGATGAGCAAGAAAGTGCCATTTACCTATGGGATTGAACTCCGCCCAGAAGATGGGGAATTAAGTTCTGGATTTGATCTTCCTGCCAGCGAAATTGAACCGACAGGTACTCAGTACTTTTAGTTTTTCGCAGTTTATTACTTTCTTTATCCTGCTTAATACTCATTAGAAGATTTACATGCAAGAAAATTTTGCGAAAACGTTTTTATTATTATCCACGCTTATCATAACTTTCTGTTTTAGGTGAAGAACTTCTGTCTGCTTTCCTGACAGTGGCAAAGCATGTCGCTGGTAGAAGGTCGTCGTAGTATTGGCAAATCCACGTCTTTTTTTCTTCACTGTTCTTGGTTTTCTCATTCTGTAGCTTTAAAATAATGCTAGGAGGAACGAGTAGATGTTGTCAAGCTACTTGAATGTTGGTTGAATAATGATGTTGCAGACTGCTTGACTGATATTTCTTCTGAAAAACTAATTGCTATCAAACTGCTCGTTTTTTCCTGACCATCTGCTGCGGTTTTTTGTGTTAGAAACTTATTTTGATTGCATCTAAAATTATTGGCTGTATTTACTTGGGCTCTAGTATTAATTTCAAAATTAAATGTTATAAAAAATACGAATGGTTGAGTGGTCTGAAAAAGACAGTTTTTTTGCCTAATCAGTACCACAATTCCTTTGTCTTTTAAGGAAATCTTTGCTTTAAAACTAAACAAATAGATTTGGTGTATGATACAAAATCTTCGCATTCCAATTTGAAGCTTGATAAAGCAAATCCAGGGTATTCTGTATAAAATTATCTTATGGTTATCTCTCTAATCAAATGTCTGTGTGGGATAATTTTACAAATTAAAATTAATGATTAGTTTTATTTATAGCTGTTATTTAGAAACAGAAAATAAATAAGTTATTGATAGCTTTAACATTACTGAACGTTTTAGCAGTATTAAAATCGAGATAACCGCTTGATGTATAATATATTTGTAGTTCTTCTATCTAACGTATCTGTTAGAAACTGTCAGTTTTAGTCTTTAAAATCTTATCTACTATTTTTAAAAAGTGTTAAGATTTCATAATTCTGTTCAATAACTCCAAAAATTGCTTAATAAAATTAATCATTTTCAAACGAAAAACGCAGTCTATTTTTGATTTTTCAAATCTACCAATTAAAACAACGTCTTAAACAAAAATGTAGATAAAACATTTTAGACACGAGTTCGTTACTAGCACAAGAGTCGTATTTTCTTTGGCGAAAATGGAAAACGAGACTTTATGTGTGAAAAATCATATGTAGTACTCTTTATTCTTTCTCTTAAGAATAAGGTTTCGACTTAGGACACCAATTTTCGGTAATTCTTGAGTACTCTAGAAAATTCTAGAATTTTTCAAAAACTTATACGCTGTTGGAAATTACAACTTTATACAATTTTATTTTAAGCACAACTGTTTTTATCATCTTTCTCTCGTTTCTTTTTTTTGTTTTTGTTTTTGTTTTTGTTTCTTGCTTTCTTTTTTTTTTTTTTTTTTTTTTTTTTTTTT